TGGTGTCTCAGCTCTGTTCTGGGTCGTGAGTGTATCTTACGGATTTCATTCCTTAATAAATCTTTCCTCATCCAAGACTCCAGAGTCCCACATTACTCATGCATAGAAACAGCCAAGGAATACAGCACTCCTACAGAACGAGGCTTGCCACCTAAAAAGACACAGTGCTATCCTTCTGCCACCTATGAAGGTTTCTTGTAACCTACTGCTATAGATGCAATTCAATAATCCGTCTTTCTTGGGCTCAAGGGACAAGGCTAAACTTTGTAGGAATCCATAAACAATCGTGGAAGACATCCATCTCATTCAAGAATCTAATTCAAACCATTGGTCAATACAGGAGAGCAGAACTTGAACTCCAGATGGCTCCCAGCACAGTGCTCATCAACTCTATCCTGGCTGGTCTTCAAGAACCCATGGGTCAGGCTGGACATGGTAGTGCATACATGTAAGCCTAGCATTGTAGGTAGGTGAGGCAGTGTTTAATGAGATTTTTGTCTCAAAATTAAAAGAGGAAAAAAGTAGAGGGACTAGGGATATAGCTTAGTGGCATTATAGAATACTTGCCTAGTGTGCAGGAAGTACTGAGTTCATTCTCCAGTACCGTGAATGAATGAATGAGTGAATGAATGAATGAATGAATAAACAAAGAAGCTGTGTTCCTGGAGAGGTTCACCCTCCCAGTACTGATCTCACTGTCTTGGGCTGGGGTCCTGGGAATCTATGCTCTCAAAGATTCCCCCATTCAGTCCTAGTGGGAAAAGGTATGCCTGTGCTTCTGCATGCAAGAGTGTGCGCGTTCTCTGTGTTCATGGTAGCACGGAGCTGAACATGACAGCGCTCCACACTGTTTCCTACTGACATCAAAGAGCACCTTTGTCAATTACTGTGTGATGTGGAAGCTAATCAACTTCTACATCCAATTTTCCTTAAAATGGGAACAGTGTAAGTGCTTATCTCATGGTTTATTGTGTAAATTAACAGGTCCCAGAAAAGCACCTAACACAGTGCCTGCCACATAATGGAAAGGCAACCAGAACCGGGTGATGACTAGCCTAGGCTCCTACACACTTAGCAGTCTTCAATCAAACGATAGCTGTCCTTCCCCTGCCCTCTTTGTGTGTGTGTGTGTGTGTGTGTGTGTGTGTGTGTGTGTGTGTGTGCGCGCGCGCACATGTGGATGTTGACATGCGTGAGGTGCACTTGTTTACATCACATGTGGAAGCCTGAGGTGCCAAGGCTAATGTCCAGAATCATCCTTAATGGTTCTTTCACCTCATTCGCTAAGGTAGGCTCTCTCAATCAGGGCCAGAGCTCACAGAGACAGCCAGCTTTCTCTGGGGTCCACCTGCTGCTGCCTTTCCAGGCTGGAATTATAAGCATCTGAACTCTGGTCTTCATTCTCACACAACAACCACTTTAACCAGGGAGGCATCTCCTCAGTCCGATAGTTACCCTTTTAAACAATCACACTGGACAGTTTTTTTTCCTTTATAAAGTGAAAACTATATATTGTTGCCATGAGAACTCCGTGAGAAAACATGCACGAGGTGGCAAGCACCACGCAGGAGGATCAACACTTCTCCGGCTCTCCCTTCTATTTTCTACTAAAAGCCTGCGCCAAAGCTCTTACAGAGTAGTTCCTGAGAAGCCACTCTGCACAGGGTCAGAAGGAGTTCCTGAGGGGAATGACCTGGATCTGTGCCCTTGAGAAAAGGAAAAAAAGCACTCGGGAGCCAAGCGTGGACTACAGGCAGCCAGAACACAGCCGGACGGGAGCTGTGCAGAGGGTGGACCACGCCCCTTTCATCTGTGCACTCCCACTCTGGGCACTCAGAGTCAAGCAAGTCGTGAGGGCGGGGCGGGGCAGCCTCACCGTAAGCAAATGTGCTCCAGAATACTAGCATTTGTATAAAAGACTTAAAAAATTTAAATTTACAATTGCATCCTTCAGATGATCTCTGCTGTTTTCCCTTTATTTATCCATATTTTATCACTAAAGACACAAAAAGGCCACACGATACTCCATGAAGTAGGACTTCATGGCAAATGTGTAGGGTTCGCATATAAGGCTTTAGATGTGGAACCATTACCATCATCTAATTTTAGGGTGCCCCAAAGGAAGTCCCACCAGGAATCACGTTCCCGTTCTCCCTCCCATCAGGTCCTTTGATAATTCTATTCTACTTTTTTGTCTTTACATAGGATGTGTGAGCCTCCCTGTGTATTCCTATGATCCTACGATCAACGCTTCCTTAAGCTAACGCAGAGAGCATTTTAGGGACACAGTGCGGGCACAGCTAGGGGCGGGATGTCTTTGAACTGGAACAATTCATTTTAAAGCTTCCAAATAAAAACTTGAAATGTTTTCCCTGAATCCTTCCTTCTCTTTATTTCTTAAGACTTATAACCATCGACTGCAGACAGCTTCTCTTACTTGGGATTTTCTTTGGCAAAAATCCAAATTTTAATCTTTAAAAAAGACAACTTTGAAGAGAATGAATTGGGCAGATGGTTCACACCTTGCTTTTCTCTTTCCTGGACATAAAAACTTCCTTATTTAATTCAATGTCATGTTCTTGATGGAAAAATTAAATGGGAAAAATAAAATCTTTCACATTGTTATTTTGATGTTAAGACACACAATACCTTGCCTGCTTCATCAGCTCTGTGTATATATGTATATACAGCACATATATAAAACATACATATGTTACCTGTTCTGAAGGTTGGTCAGAAGCACCTTAAGAGGGGAATCAAGATCTCACTTATTACTGTGTAACTGTTCATTCAATGCACAGGGCTTGTATTTTATTACTGGTCCCAACTAGAGGTCTACAAAAGTCAGCAAGAAAAAACTGAATTTGTTTTCCAACTGGGGAAAAAAATTGTTCAATATTTCCTTCTTTGAACAAGTCATTTCAACCTTTGTATTTAGAGTGACATCTAAGGGCTCCAAGGAAGCCATTTAAAAAGCACAGTGTCTGCTCTCTAAGGAGCTTTCTATGGTACTTCCTCATGATTAAAGCCACAGGTTTCAAGATCCTATCTAGAAGGAACTTTAAAGAGCCTCTGGTCTAAGCAGGTCCAGTTTTACTGCTCTACAGTGGGAAGTTGTTTTGTGCTTAAGCCAATCAGGAATAAGTTGCTATCAGTCTGATATACTATACATCGCATTAATAAACCCACCTTCTTACCACTGCAGGAAAATCCACAATTGCACACCAAAATGCAGATTTAAAAAAAAAAAAGTTAAATAAGGAATTCGGATTCATTTACAAATTAATCTTAATAAAATTCTAAATAAAATTTCCTATAAGAAATGAAAAGTGTTTATAAATTTATCCACAATTTTCCTGGATCATCACAAAAAAACAAGCGAATAAACAAGGTATCCCTGGACTGAAACAAAACTGTGAGGGAGAAGGGGAAGCCAGCCACCAGCGTGAAGCAGGCTGTGCACATGCATCACTCAAACCTTCAGAACCCATGGGGATGGAGACGCTCTCACACGTGCCTCGGATGGCTGAAACTAAGTACTTGAGCCAAGAGCTCACAAGCTGTACACAAAGGCATATCCAACAAAATTATCTGACTTTGTTTCTATAGCTGGCCTAAATATATCACTTATTTATTTAAAAATATATTAAATATATATATCAAATTCCAAAGTTTCCTTCCTTTGAAGTGTATCCAGCTTACAGTCAGAAACTTTCTTTTTCGTTTTCATATTCCTTACCACTCCCAAGACAAACAATTGCTCTTCATCAACACTCTGCATAACAAAATGGCAAGCTCTCAACAGCAAAAATTAACCCACACAGAGCTGACCATAAGTAAACTGCTTGCTTCAAAAGGACTTAAACCAACAGTATCAAGTAAAATACATTTCTACCAGGCATCTCACTGTGGACCGCTCAAATTAAACAATAAAAGGGAACTGGAAATGGTATTGGGCTAGAAATTTAGACATCTTTGATGCCATTTCTTGCTCTGCCACTTACAAGCAGTGAAAAGGCCACCTAACTTTGCATCTGTTTCACTCTCAGCCAAACAATGTAACCCTTGAACACCGGGTGCTCAGAGAGTCAATGGACACAGCATATAGATTCAGAAACATGTAGTTAGTTATTACTGTACTGAGATGTTATTGAACTGCCTGGAAAAGGAGGCCCAGAGAAGCTAAGGAATTGGAAAAGGCTGCACTGCCAGAGCATAATGGAGCCAAGCCTGAAATGACTAACTTGAGCTGTTTAGTCCTAAGCGTTTTCCACTCCACCTCCTGTCTCTTCTCTAACTTCTGCCCACTGAACTTTGCACATTATTACCCAACATTATTTGTAAGACGCCACCACAAAGCCAACCCTGTTCCCTCTGGAAAAGTGTCATAGTCATTCCGAAGCTATGCTTCAAAGTGCACGCTTCTCAATTAAAGACTGTAATATGCTAAATGCTCAAGGACCATGGTGACAACCCAGTAGTTATCTGCTCTACATCTCTCACATGTGAGTTTGGGTAAAGTCCTCACAATCATCTACCACCAATAAAAGCAAATGCTTTGCAGGACATGTCAATACACACAAACGAAACTTTCTTTGCAACGTGTACAAACAGGACTGCTTTGCATGTGAGAAGGCTTTGCCCAGGACAGGCACGTGTCATTCACCAACTGGACGGAAAAAAAGTGCTCTAGAGTTGGAGGAGTAGTAGGGAGCGGGTGGTTTGGTGGAGAAACAGCCTCTGCCAATAGTTCCTCGAGTACTTGGATCAGTCACGTGAAAAAAAGTCTCCAAGCTTCAAATTCTCGAAGTGTTGCATCTAGGTGACGACAGCAGCACCCTGGGTGTCTCTGTCACTTGGATGCTAAGGGACGAGCAGTACGCAGGACTGCTGAGTAGCGGGCAGCGCGGGTACCCAGTGCAGTGGAGTGGGGAGGTGGATAGGGCGAGCAGCCCTGGATCAGCCCCGGGACCCGGGCGCGGCCCGCGAGGGTCACTCACCGGGCCAGCAGCTCTAGGAAGATCACATTACTGCAGCAGCCTGCGAACACCAGGCCCACCGCGAAGGCCGGGCGCATGGCCGGTGCGGGGCACAGGGTGCGAGCGCGCAGAGCGCCCTTCCAGATCGCTATCCTAGGAAGCCCTCACTGAACATCACCACCTCCCGCTGTTCGTTGCTCAAGGGCCGTCTCTGTCCACTCTTCTTCCGCGGCCGCCACCGACGCGACCAGCCCAAGAGCTGTAGTTCTCAGTCATCCCCGGCTCCATTCATCTGAGGGGGCGTCCAATGGCTGGCCAGACTACATGTCCCAGCATACCGCGCGCCTTTACGGCAGGCGTGAAAAACTGGCAAGTTTCCCCGAACCCTCGCGTGATCGGAATGCTGCGCGGCCTTCTGGGAAATGGAGTTCCAACGCTGTCTGTGTTGAGTACCAGAAATGTTGAAACAGGATTCCAACGAAGTAGCTTGTGGGATCTGGAATTACAGACCTGCGACTACTCATCTGAGTGTTCTAGCACCGAAAACAACTATCCTAAAACTGAGAGAATGTAGAAATTTCTCTAAACCAACTTTTAGGAAAACAGTGAAACCAAAAGTTTTGAGGTTGAGCCTTGGTTATTTAGGACATCAGCTCAGCACCCCACTATCACCATAAGGGAAGATGGGCCCGTCTTGGAGGTTATTGTGGAAAAGACTAGCACTGTACGTATATTGCTTTCTGTTATGGTTTTTGTGGAGGCATTGGGCACATAATTGTGTTCTGCTGACATTTTGCCAGCTTAAGGTGCTCATTAAGTACTGAATTTAACTGATAAAAGGCATTCTTTTCACCTTAGTTCTTGTTTCTGTCCTCCCTTGTAAGACAGACATTTACAGTTTCAGAATGCATCGGCATTACCTGGGGTGCTTATTGCAAATACGGAGTTCAGGACCATACACAAGAATTGTGATTCAGAAAGTTTGAAGCTGGCCCCAGTAACCAGCACTTAGAGCATGAACTCAGGAGGATTCTGATACAGTCTTTGGGTCACAAGTTGAGAAAGCCATTGGCAAGTATGTTATGAATCTTGAGGAAAATGTCAGACTGTTTGTATCTTGAGGAATAACAAAAAAAAAAACAAACCCATATACCAATCTGTCTCCTAACTTGCCTCCCATTACATGCTATCACTGCTGGATGGAATTAGACATATGAAGCGACACAGTTCTGAGCAGTGTACTAATACTGCATAATAGGAAGTAGGGTATTGGGCTGTTAATGCATTGCATTTATCAAAAATCAGCCTTGCTGGATGTAGAAGGTATACACATACTATACAAACATAGAATACAAAATCACCAGCTGTGTACATAGTGATCACCATGCATTCTTTCTGTTTCTGTTGAATAAAAGTCACCACCAGGAGGCTCGGTGACAAATGCCATGAGACTTCAGCAGGAAGAAGAGGGGGAAGCGCTTCCTTTCACCTAAAGGCTGGTGTGAGTAGGTTTGTTTGTGTATGGATGTTTCGCTTGAGTGTACATCTGTGCAATGTGTGTGTCCTGGTGCCCTGAGAGGCCAGAAGAGGTCATCAGATCTGGAACTGAAGTTACAGAGGTTGTGAGCCACCGTGTGGGTACTAGAAGAGCAACCAGTGCTCTTAGCCACTGAGCCATCTCTCCAGCCCAGGTATGGACATTTTTGACTGGAGTGCTTGAACATTGCCATTCTCAAAGTACCCCGCTCCGGGTGGAGGTTGACTCTGCAGCTGAGGCTGAGAACGGTTAAAGAAAGGGAAAAATGGACTCAAAGGGCTAGGCTTAGTGACATCAGTAGATCGTCTTTAAGGTGCCATCTCAGCCTGGTTAAATCCAAATCCTTAGGGAGTAGGACCAGGTATCCGCTGTAATTGAAAATCCAAGAGTGAAAAGCATGGCTTTACTTAACTCTCAGCGGTTCTCAAGCATGGCTACATAGTAGAGTCATGTTCAAGACTTTAAAAATGTATTGAACAACAAAAACAAAAACAAATCCAGAAGTATCAGACCCACTTCTGATGAAACAAAGAAGACATGTAAGTCCATCTTAAGTGGTTGGGTGGGAGTTCCACCTCAAACCCTGGCGCCCTGACATCCCTATACCCAAAGAGTCTGGAATGTTTGGAAGGAGTCCACCTCAACTCCCCTCCCCATTTCTCTCCCTAAACCCGCCCCTTCAAAGCCCGCCAAACACAGCTCCTCCCCCAAGAGAGGCTCAAGACTATTCCCACAGGGTATATAAGCTGCATCCCCCAAAACAGACACGTGGTTCTTCCAGCCTCTCAGCCCCATCTCCTCTCTGTGAGCCGGTGGGGAATCACCCAGGAATGCTTTACCCATTAAACCTGGGCTTTTCCTGATTCGGTCTGATTTGGTTTGCTGTGTCAGCAGAGAGGCCTTCAGGAATCCTAAAACTTATCATCTGGAGGTTCCACCGAGGGGGGTTGATTTTTCTCCACTGGCCCAGGGCCCCATCGTGGGAAAACACCCCTCTCCCCCACACCTGCTCTCCGCCAGACTAAGATCAGTTCTCGGTTGGGTGAGTTGCCCTTTCCAAGTCCTTGCCTAGGAAGGAGGTCCAGGGCCTCTTCATCTTTAAGGGTGTCTTGCTAGAGATGTGCTGCACCAGGCCCCCGACCCATTCCAGAGCAAAGGGCTGCCTTTGTTCCATGGGACCCCTTCTCCAGAAGACTGTCTGTTGAAGGGAATTTCCTACACCCCCCTGTTTTTTTGACGGATCCCGGTGTAGACTTGAGGAACTGCACTTGCCATTCACAGCCTGATCCCCAAATGCCCTGCGGGGTCTTTTACAAAATCTATTCAAATTGGGGCTACAGAACTGCCCTACTTCCACTGTTCTGCATTCCCATCCTCCCTACAGGGGCAATGTCTCACAGCACCGGTCCATTCACTGCTGGAGACACTGACCCCTCCCCCACTTCCCCCAAACTCTACCTACCCAACCCCCTCCTCCAGGGTCACAAATCTAAGACCAAATTCCTCCTCCTTACCTTCCTTCCTGTCCTCCCTCCCCTCACTGCTTCCCCCCATCTCCCAATGCCTCAACCTACACACTGGCCTAACGCCCCCAAGTCTTCCCCAGTTTCTTCTCATACTCAGTCTCACCAGACTCCTGCCTTCCCACCCATTTCATTTCTTGGTCAGTGCTAGATATTAGAAAAAAATTTAAAAAGGCTGAGGAGTATCCCCAAACTCCCCTACAGGAATTGGTGAAAATGGCTTTTAAAGTTTTTAATGCTCGAGAATGACAGCCGAGTCAACCCTACAGACAAGGCTGCAACAGAACACTCTCCAAGTCAAGCATTAGCAGCTGCTCTGAGGCCACCAGGAACCCCACAATGGGTATAAGGGAAGTTGGCCATGAGGCTCCATCCCACAGGAGCTCAGCCCAAGTCAACTCCTCCAAAAACTTGCTTCAAATGTGGCCAGTAGGGCCACTGGTCATGGTATTGCCCTGACCCCCAGCCGCCCAGGAGGCCATGCCATGTCTGCTGACAGCCTGGGCACTGGAAATCAGAATGCCTCCGTGTAGGCTCATCCTCTATGCCATGCCATGGAGGTCCAGCCTCACCAACTCTGAGAATTCCTAAGCCTGGTGGAGAACTGACATGGCCTAGACCTGCTGACTCTGAGCCTAGGGTGACGCTGTAGATAACAGATAAGTCCATTGACTTTCTTTTGGACATGGGAGCTACCTATTCTGTTTTGACATCTCACTCAGGTCCTACAATTCCCTCACCAATTTCTGTCACTGGGGTGGACAGGATCCCTTCCTTCCCACTTAAGACCCTGACACTTTCCTGTATTCTTGCAGGGTGATTCTTCTCACACTCTTTTTCTTGTCATACCTGCTCACCATGCACCTCTGCTTGGTTGCTATGGTCTCAGCTTTTTTGGGGACACACTCACCTTGGCCCCCACACTCTCCTGAATATTTCACAAGTCCATTCACAGGGGCCCTCTAGATATGTCAGCCTTTGCACCAGCTTCGAGGACACCAACCAGGCAAGGATTGGCAGGTGGACTTCACTTACATGCCCACACCTAAAGAACTCTGTTACCTCCTAACTATGGTTAACACCTTTATCCTCAGGAAAGGCTGAGAAGGCCAAGGGACTCATCAAATGACAGCTCACCAAGATCTTTATTGAACTCAGGTTATCTTGGTCCCCCCTTCTCCCCACTGTCCTTACCTGCCTCTGGGCCACCCCACACTCTCCTACAGGTTTGAGCCCTTTTGAGCTCCTTTACAGAAGGCCCTTCCTCCTCAATCACCACCTCCCAACCCAAACTCCCCCACTGGCTGGGTATCTCCCTTACCTCTCTCTTCTGAGGTCCCTTCTCCATTCATACTGTGATCCTCAACACCCCCTTGGCTGCCAAGCTCCTGGGACATCCATGCTGGTACCATCTTTCCAGGCTCAAGTGGGCACCTATTCAGGATACATGGTCTGTCCAGCAGCTGGGACCCTCCACCCTCCAGTTTTCCAAGATGTTCCACTAAAGGGCCTATCTGCTCTTCTGCTCTGTACATTCATCTTTACAGTACAACTAGGGCAGATGTTAATGATCTTTTTTTTCCTAGAAACTTGCCTTCTTTGCTTCCTCAAGAAACAGATGCCTGAGGTCTCCAGGATGACAATCAACCAGATGCTCCTCCATTCACACCTCCTGCTGAATGTGAGCTCACCAATTCCTGACTCCTTTTCCCCATGTCGCCCCATGCCCACAGGAAGTTGTCAGACTTGAACTGGCGTCCCTATATCCAAAGAGTCTGGAATGTTTGGGTGGGAGCTCCACCCAAACCCCTGGTACCCTGGCATCCATATACTCAAAGAGTCTGGAATGATGATAAGTTTTAGGCCTCCTGAAGGTCTCTCCTCTGATGCAGCAAACCGAATCAGACTGAATTGGTAAGCCCAGGTTTAATGGGTAAGGCGCTCCCAGGCGATTCCTGGCCCGCAGAAAGGAGACAGGGATGCAAGACTGGAAGAACCACATGTCTGTTTTCTGGGATGCAGCTTATATACCCTGTGGGCGTCGTCTTGAGCCTCTCTGGGGGAAGAGTTGTGTTTGGCGGGCTTTGAAGGGGCAGGTTTAGGGAGAGAAATGGGGAGGGGAGTTGAGGTTGATCTTCCACCAGACTCCTTCCAAACAGTAAGCAGTGACAATACTCTCACGGCCTCTGCAGTCGGTTCTGCCTAGATGAAAGCTGAGACTTTTCTCTGATGGAGATTATTTCACA